CTCATACTTTGGACATATTGTCAGGAGGGAACAGTCGCTAGAGAAGGATGTCTTTCTGGGTAAGATGGAGGGTCAGAGAAAAAGAGGAAGACCTCCAATGAAATGGATCAGCCAGGTGGCATCATTGATGGACTCAAGTGTGGCAGCGGTAGTGAGGTTGGCCCAGGATCGGACATTGTTTCGTTCTGCTGTGCATGGGGTCGCTATGAGTCGGTTCCGACTCGATGGCACCTGACAACAACAACAATCCTTATAAAAGAGCAGAAGAGACACACAGATATATAGAGGAAAGATGACCATGTGAAGGCATATTTAAAACAAAAGTGACTATCAAACTGAGAGAAACTTAAAAAAAGGCAACAGGAAAAAGCATGGCATCAAAGATTTATTGGAGTCAGGCAGGAAAGAAGGTGTGCAAGAACAATAGAATGGTGGTATGTTTTAGAAATCAAGAAAAAGTTATATTTCAAAGAGGAAGTTGTCAAGCATGTCAAATACTGCTATGAACTTTAAATGAGAACTAAAAAAGTTCACTGGATTTAGCAATTTGGGAAAATCTGCTGATCCTAGCAATAACTATTCTGTGGACTGATGGGATCAAAAGTCATATAAAAGGGTATCTCAAAGTGAGTTGAAAATGAAGTAATGAGGATAATTTACGTCTCTCTCTAAAAGTTCAACTGTAAAAGGATAAAGGAATATTTTTGGCAAGAAGCCAGAGAATAATAGGATCAATCTCTCTCTCCACTCTAGTTTTTAAGGCCTTTCAGAAATAGGCTCTATCTGTTCTCCTGACTTAATGTAAAGAAATAGGACCCTGGGGGTAGAGAAAAGAGTTTAATATGGGCACCCAAATAATCACATCAACAGTGAGAGAAACTGGGGATATGGATCAAAGGAAAACACTAAAGGAAGAAACACTGCTCCTTTCTGAGAAGGTCCTCAGTGATGAAGATGAACTTTGTCCCAAGAAAACCTAGTTCCATCAACAAATGGAACTAGAGAGAATTAGAGTGTGATGAAGAACTAATAATTGATCAATAAAATAAGATACTTTCAACTTCCACCAGCTTTCCCTCTTTCCAATCCCCAACAAAGATAAAAAAATCAAAACCAAGAAGACATCCTTCTCTAGCGACTGTTCCCTCCTGACAATATGTCCAAAGTATGAGAGACGAAGTTTAGCCATCTTGGCCTCCAAGGAGCGCTCTGGCTGCACCTCTTTCAAAACAGATCTATTGGTTTTTTTGGCAGTCCATGGCACTTTTAGTATTCTCCTCCAACACCACAATTCAAAAAAAAATAAGAACCTATGGTTCTTAAATATTATAAAGAGACATCCCAGACACCTTAGTCAACTCACAAGGATAATATGGAATATGTTAATTCTTCAAGGAAAACACAGAAATACTATCTTCTGAAACCACATAAATTATAAGCATGAGATATTTCATTAAACTTGTACTGTCAAGTTGATTTAGTCTCATGGTGTGAAAGTTACAGTTCTGTATACACTTCATTGGGCTCTCAGTTTTCACTGCCATGATGAGATCTAATATGATGCAGTCACTGCCATGATGTGATCTGATGTAATAAGCTCTGATCTTATCTAATTACCTTATGTACTGTAAACCTTCATGTCTGTGATGTTAAATAGGCCAGATATAGTCTACAGGATTAGGTCGTATCTTAATTCAATCTCTTCTGAGATATAAAGAGAGTGAGAAGTACCACCCATTTGCGATATTTATAACAGTTCTAGATAACTAAGATACATGGTGATCCAATGTATTAATTTCTCACTAAAAGATTTTCAATTTTGTGGTATTTTCAGATGCAGATCACCAGGCCTTATTTCTAAGGCATTTCTTGTTGTTGTTGTTAAGTGCTGTTGAGTTGATTCTGACCCTTAGCGACCCTGTATAGGGTTTCCGAGGAGCAGCTAGTGAGCTTGAACCGCTGACCTTACAGTTCAAACAGCTTTGCAGTCGGGCGCATCAATCCACAGCACCACACCAGGACCCTCTAGGTGGATTCAAAACACCAATCTTTTTGTTGGTTGTTATTGCTAAGTGCCATCAGTTGGTTTTCTCCCATAGCAATGTATAATGTTTCCAAGGAGCAGCTGGTGAATTGAAGCACAGACCTTGTGGTTCAAACTGACTTTGCACTCCAGCACACCAAGGCTCCTTTTTGTGTCACACACTAATCATTTGTACCGACATTAGATCTGTTAAATTCCTTCCAATGAAGTCATATCATTGTGAAACTGTGATATGACTGTTTGTGATTGCTGTGATAAATGAACAAGTGCATCACGGAAATCATCATGGAAGAGGAAATTAGGTGACACCTACTTTTGCTGTGAAAAAGTTAGACACATTAAGGGCAACATGAACCAAGAAATTTGGGGACCTCTGGGATAGACAGGAGAAGCAAAGGCAAAGGTATATATATCTAAGAACAGACAACATCCATCTCCACTCCAAGATAGAAAAGATTAAAACACATTATGTTGTTATTGTTGTTAAGTGCCTTTGAGTCAGTTATGACCGATAGTGACCCTGTATAGGGTTTCCAAGGAGCAGCTGGTAAGCTTGAACTGCCCACCTTGAAGTTCAAAGCGACTTTGCAGTTCAGCACATTAACCCATAGCACCACACCAGGTCTCCAAAACACATTATGTTGTTGTTGTTATGTCCCGTAGAGTCAATTCCAACTCATAGCGAAAACACATTGTATATACCTCCTATTCCTAAGCCATACCTGATATGAACAACGAGAGGTAGAGTTTGAAGGTGACCTACCAAATGGACTTGAACTGTTGGTAACTAAAAGTGACCAGAAAATTATGAAATCTGCCTGAGCTATTGTCAAAGAAGGATAAGACAAATTAAATTGAGTACAACTGAAAGCAATTAAGTGAAGAGAAAATAAAATTCTGTCATGTTTTTATCTTACTGAGTTGCATTGCCTCAATTATTGTAGATAACATCCACTAAACTCATCTTGATGGCCCATGTGGCATGTCTTGACTGTAGTAGGCAGTTGGTAAATATTAAAGTGAATTGATTCATGTATTCATTCACTGAACAAATATTTATAGAATGTCTACTATGTACTAAGCATTTTACAACCCATAGGGACACTAAAGAGTCCTGGTGTGGTGCTGCGGGTTAATGCGCCAAACTGTAAAGCCCTCTGAACTGCAAGGTCAGTGATTCAAGCTCTCCAGCTGCTCTTCAGAAATCCTATACAGGGTCGCTATGGGTCAGAACCAACTCCACGGCACAACAACAATAACAGAGACACTAAGAAAAGCCTGCAAAGGATTATGTTTAAAATAACATGCACACTCCAATCACAGTTTATTCAACTACCTTCTTTGACCCTCCACCCCCATGGCCTCACCCCAGCAATTAATTTCCAAAGGAATTTATTTATTTACATATGTTAATCTAGTCTGTCTTTTCTATTAGCATGCAAGTGTCAAAAGATCAGGTATAGGCTTGGTCTTCCTCCTCTCAATTCCCAAGCATTGATGTGTCCCAGAGATCTATATAGTGCCCACTCTGCTTTCTCATTCCTTGGATTTAAATAGTATTTGTTGGTGCCATATTGGTATCCAGTGCTATCCTTTCCCCAGTATGTTATATTTACACATCCAGCTGCCCACTTGAAACACAGATACTGAATATTGTTGTTAGTTGCCATCAAGTCATTTTGAAATCTTGGTGACACATCCATGCAGAGGAGAATTGCTCCATAGCATTTTCAAAGCTGAGAACTTTCAGGATCTGCTATCAAGGCCTGTCTTTCAAAACATGTCTGGGTGGGTTCGAACAGCCAACATTTCATCTATAAGTATAGTATTTACCTATTTGCACCACTCAGTGACTCCCAGGATACTGAATAGGTACCAATTATGGATTGAATTGTGTACCTCAAAATAGGTTGTAAATTGAGTCTGCAGGTTAATGTTCTGGGCTGCAAAGTTGGTTTGAATTACAAGATCAGCAGTTCAAACTTACAAGCTGCTTCTCAGAAACAGGGTCACTATGGAGTTCTGGTGTGGCGCTATGTGCTAATGCATCAAATTGCAACGTTATTTGAACTGCAAGGTCAGTGGTTCAAGCTCACCAGCTATTCCTTGTAAACCCTATACAGGGTCACTATGGGTCAGAATGGACTTTAAGGCACTTAACAACAACAACAACAACTAAAAGAGTGCAAACCTACTGAATGGCACTTAACAACATACCTACAGATGTAATCCCATTTGTGAAGGCTTTCTTTGATATGTTAATGAATTCATTATCAGTGTGCAGTGTGTTTTAAACTACTCACTTTGAGATACAAAAGATTAGATTAGGCACAGAAGAAAAGCAGCACAGATGCGGGTAGTGGCACTCCCCATGAAGACAGACAAGGAGCTGAGAGGCACAGTGGCTGCAACAAAGGACTCAAACACAGGAACAATGTTTGAGGAGGTGCAGGACCAAGCAGTGTTTGGTTCTGTACGTAGGGTCGCCAGCAAGGGACCTCATTGAACAACGCGCTGCTCCAAACTTCGCTAGGAACTCCTACTCCCAGGTCTCCGTTTGCACATGCGCAGGAACTAGTTTTTGCTGTCCTTGAGTTTAACTCAACGCTGCTGAGCTCCTTTGTCCCTTTTATGATTGAGATCTTTTTTAACCTTCTTGTCTCTCACGCACAGATATTTGCTTTCTAGTACCTTCTGCAGTTACTTAAAATTTAAATCACGTTACTTTCCCATTACTGTAGCACTTCTTGAGTCTGTTTGAGAAAGGCGTTTCCGAAAGGCTATCATCCTTCCGTGGCTTAATTATCGCGAGAAAGCAGCCTTTACTCGCGGTATTTCCTTGTTTTCCAGAATCCTTAGCGCGAAGTGGAAAAACACTCATTAGCTCTGCTACTGTTGCTGCCGCCGTTTGTACAGCCGCTTCCGGTGGTGTCTCCTTTGGGTTCTCCGAGGGCAAATGGCGGCCCCCGAGCAGCAGTTACCTAAATCGAGAGGTTGCCCGAGCTCCTCTTCTCTTTCCCCTCCGCGGGGCGACCGAACCCTTCTAGTGCGGCACCTACCCGCAGAGCTGACAGCTGAGGAGAAAGAAGACTTGCTGAAGTACTTCGGGGCGCAGTCCGTCCGCGTCCTGTCAGATAAGGGACGACTGGTAAGGGAGCGTCCCTCCCGAGCCGACCTGGAAGGCCCTTGATTAGTGCCGCGGGCAGCGGGGGTTCTGACTTTAGGAAGAACACAGAGAAAAGTGGGGAAGGCGTTCTTGTGTGTTACAGACTTCCCCATCTTTACTCTTGTGTACCAGATTATCTTGCCTCCAAATGAAGTCGTCATTCACTGGAGCCTTCGTTAGTCACAGTGCTGCAGAAAAGGATGAGAAAGGCGAGGCAAAAAAAAAGAGAAAATATCTTAGTTATATTCTTTAATTAGGACCCACCCAGAGAATCACAACGCTTCTGAATTTGGGATGTTAGATGCCATTAAATTTATGAAACATTTAATCTTTGTGCATGTATAAGCCTATGTCAAAATACTAAGTTTTTGTTGTTGTTTTTTTAAATCAAGGATAGTCATGAATATCATTTGGTTATGAATCGGGCTGCTAACCTCAGGGACAGCAGTTCGGAACTACCAGCTGTTCCTGTTAGTTTCGAACTAGTGAAAGAAAGATGAGTCTGTCTGCTCCCTTAAAGATTAACAGCCTCGGAAACCCTCTACGGGGTCGCTATGAGTCGGAACTGACTCCACGGAACATAACCACAACAACTGTATATATCTATTGGATGATGCTTTATGTGGGCTTCTGTTGGTTAAGTAATAATTATTGTTGTTTTAAGTACTGTCAAGTCAATTCCGACCCATAGTAACCCCATATAGGGTTTCAAAGGAGCAGCTGGTGAGCTTGAACCTCCGACCTTGCGATTCAAACGACTTTGCAGTCTAGCACATGAACCCACAGCACCACACCAATAGTGATGCTTATTTACATACTATAATCTGTGTTGGGACAAGATGTCAGTGTTTTTACAGTCTTCCAGGCGACCCTATTGTGTAACCAGAATTAAGAATCGCAGAATTAGAGGAAAGAACAATTTTGAACAGTAAAAGTATCATCATGCAAATGCAAATATTCTGTTGCTCAATTAAAACATTCACATCATCTTAGATCAAATTAGATGAAATGAAAATGTGTGTTGTAACTACCTTGTTGTTATTTTCGTTGTTAAGTGCTGTTGAGTTGGTTCTGACCCATGGCAATCCTGCATATGGTTTCCCAAGAAGAGCTAGTGAGCTTGAAACACCGACCTTGTGGTTGAAACCAACATTGCAATCCATCGTATTAACCCACAGCGCCAGACCAAGACTCCATAATGGTCCTAGAAAGCATGAATAGTTCTTCCTTAAGTTGACAGTTCTTGCTTAAACATCATAATGATTCGTACACTCTTGACATTTGTTCCTTTCCTCTGATAGTTTTAGAAGTATTTATGGAGTCCTGGTGTGGCACTGTGGGCTAATGCGCCAGACTACAAAGCTGTTTGGTGGAAATCCTATACAGTGTCGCTATGGGTTGGAATCGACTCGATGGCACTTCACATGGCACTTACAGCAACAACATGGTTTATGTACATATGTATGTATATACCGTGGAGTCAGTTCCAACTCATAGTGACCCTGCACAGGGTTTTCGAGGCTACATATCTTTACAGGATAGAAAGCCTCATCTTTCTCCTGCAGAACAGCTGGTAGTTTCGAACTGCCTACCTTGCGGTTCACAGCCCGATTCGTAACCACTACGCTACTAGAGCTCCTTATACACTCTTAATTCTTATTACAAGAATAAAACACAGAAAACATGCCTGGAGGAATGATTTCCCTGTAGATGAACATTTTTTAAATTTTGCAGTGAGTTGTATAGAGAAAGGTTAGGATTATTAAAAGTGTTATAAATGAAAGATATTTTAAAATTTTTTTAATAGTTTAAAGGTCATCCTCAGTCTGTGATCTGTATGAAAGTATATGTAAATGTGTCATGCACATGTGTGTGTGTGTGTGTGTGTGTGCATGCAAACCTTTATAAGAGGAAAAAAGCATCTTAAAATCTGTGACCCAAAGAGGTTCTAAACTATGTATACTGAAGCTAATAAATGGCTAACTGACCTCAAATTTTCATCTTTTCCCATGATTTATTAATGTGTGAAATCACTGTATACTGCTTAAATGTCAAATTTCTTTGTTAGAAACTGAGATTATGTTGGAAATAATTTTTACCTTAATTCTCTTTCAGAAACATACAGCCTTTGCCACTTTCCCTAATGAAAAAGCAGCTATAAAGGTATGACTTGTTTTGTATTATTAATGTGATCAGCAGTTTTCTATTATATAATGCTTAGTTAAGAACTAGAAGGTAATAATTAACTGTAGTTGTTAAAAGCAAAAATGTTTGTATTCCAAGAATTTGACTCAACAACTTAACAACAACACACTTAACAACAACAACAACATGACGCGCCGATAGATTAATATATGATAAAAAGTTAACATTCTTGGAGTGGAAATGGGTAAGAAGGAAAAGTTAACACAACAGTTAACAAAGAAATTTATAAATTATTTTGCATATGGTCCCTAAGAAATGTTAGATCACCATATCCTCATATTTTATATTTTCCTGTTCTTCCAATTCAAGGCATTGACAAGACTCCATCAGCTGAAACTTTTAGGTCATACATTAGTTGTTGAATTTGCAAAAGAACAGGATCAAGTTCGCTCTCTATCGCCTTCAAACACTGAAAAAAAGAAAAGGTATGTAGATAGATTTCCCTAACATTTTAACATAGAATGTTTTCAGATTAGCAGGTAAGTAATTTGAAGCAGAGTAAATGTTTTATTTCTCCTTTTAATCTAATATATTTTTTTTAAAAAATGCTCCTTATTTTGTTGTTACTGTCAAGTTGATTCATGGCAACCCCACGGTGTGCAGAGTAGAACTTTCTAATAGGGTTTTCAAGTTGTGACATTTCAGAAGCCAAGACACCTTGGGGTGGGTTGTAACTGTTAACCATTCAGCTAGTAGTCAAGTGCTTAGCCATTTGTGCTGCCCAGAAACACCTAATTGTACTTGAATTTCAGGAACCTGAATGTTGATTTAGTATTGCTGGGTTCTGGGCTCCATTCCGACTTACAGTGATTCCATCTGACACAACTGAACTAGCCCATAGAGCAGGAGGGAGCAATCTTTTTTCTGTCAAAATTTATAACATCAATTGCCAGCTATACAAAATGATCAACTTAAAGATTAGCCTGCTATATTTGGTCTAACATTTAATTATTTCACCCCTAATGTGATGGCTAGAACTGTGGATGCTTTGGCAGGGCTAGACCAAATGATTTCGCCAGCCCTATGTGGCCCATTGATGCCCTGGTATGCACTGGACTGCAAGGTCATTTTGAACCACGAGATCTGTGGGTTCAAGCTCACCAGTCACTTCTCGGAAGTCCCTATATAGGATTGCTGTGAGTTGGAACCGACTGGATGGCACTTAACAACAACAACAACAATATAATGATCCATGGGCTGGATGTACCCAGTCCCTGCCATAGGAATTTCTTGACTGTATTCTTTAAGGAAGTAGATCACTAGGTGTTTGTTATATGGTGCCTTTGTTGTTGTTGTTAAGTGCTGTCCAACTGTGTAGGATTTCCAAGGAGTGAGTTGGTGAGTTTGAATCAGTGATCTTGCGATTCTAACTGACCCTGCTGTCCAGTGCTTATTCTTCAGCACCACACCTTAAAATTGGTTCAAATCCAGCCTTTCTGTTAGTAATTGAGTACTTAACTGTTGTGCCACCAGAGCTCCTAGATTTAATATTAGAAATTAATGTGACGTGTGAAGCATTCAACTTTAAGTGGAGAAAAGGTCGCTGGGCTGTATTAGATACAGCAGAGTGTCCTGAATACGTAAAGCATAACCATTGAAATCAAAGATTAGTATTTGATTGCTGGCTGTTCATCTTTGACTCTTTATAATTACATTATCTTCCAAATATGCCTTATATCAATGGCTCATAAAGTGTGGTCCCTAGGCCATCTACATCACTTCAGTAGGATCTCATCTGAAATTATAAAATAGTTTTTGGAACTTACCCCAGTCTGTTGAATTAAAAACTTGGAGATTAAGGTGGGTTAAGGTCCCAGCAGTCTATTCTGACCCTCAGTGAGATGAATTGACACAGTAGCAGCAGCAGTACACTCAAGCTTGACACCAGTTGTGAGACTGGTGCAGGACCAGGCAGCTATTTTCCAAACTCTAAGGGTAAATATTCTGTTTTCTTTTTGGGTAATGTGAATAATTTATCAGATCTCTATATAGGATTGTTGTGAATTGTAAATGAAATGTAAAGTGTCCAGAATAGTGTCTCGAACAGAATAGGTGAACCATAAAGGCTAATTTTTATGTCCCTTCCTTTGCTTGAGAAATGCTTACAAATTTTATTGATTTTGGAGCTGTTTATGGTGCCATTTGTTTAGAAAATTAGCTTTCTGTACTGTATGCAGTTTTTACTTTATTCCTTAAGATCAAATTTGATTGTCTATTTTCTAGATCTGATGACTCTGTGGAAGATGATAAAGAAAAGAAAGAACTTGGTTGTTTAACAATAGAAAATGGAATTGCACCAAACCATGGGTTAGCATAATTTGTTTGTACTTTTGATTTTATTGTTCTGTGTGTATATAAGGCAAATAATATAGCATTTTAAATTTTATTTTAGTATATGCCATGCCTATTTTTTATAGTGTGTTGATTAAATATTTTGAGATAAGAGAATTTAAATTTGTGGCACTGTAGGATGAACACTTAACCATAAGGTCACTTTGAACTGCAAGGTTGGTGGTTCAAATTCAACCAGCTGCTCCTCAGAAACCCTATACAAGGTCACTAAGAATCCAAACCAACTTGATGGCTCTTAATAACAACAACAATTGTGTTTGAAGAAGTATCTCTAAGTACTTTTTTTCAGAGTAAAAGCTCTGATAAGAGATGCCTTATTAGATATTTTTCTTTAAGCAGCTTTTATTTTTTCATTTTTATGCATTTTTCTTTATTGCAATGTGAAAGTAAGTTTCCTTTTGAATGTACTTATTTGTATTTGAATATTAAAAGTACCATTGACTTCCAGAAGAACAAACAAATTTGTCCTGGAAGTACTTCCAAAATGCTCTTTGAAAACCTGGATGGCAAGACTTCATTTTTCATGCTTTGGATATATTATCAGGAAGGACCAGTCCCTGGAGAAAGACATCATACTTGGTAAAGGGAGGGTCAATGACAAAAAGGAAGACCCCCAGTGAGATGAAGTGACACAGTAGCAGCAGTGATAGAGCCAAGCATAACAACAATTGTGAGACTGGTGTGGGACCAGGCAGTGTTTAATTTTGTTGTGCATGGGTTTGCTGTGAATTGGAACCTACTCAACAGCACCTGACAACAGAAACAGTAAATCAAAGAGTGCAGCATTAGTTAAATATTTTTGTTAGAAGACTACCTGAATTGAATTATTGATATGAAACTATTTTGAAGACATACAGCCTTTTCAGGAGTCAGGTGTGGAGCTGTGGGTTAATGAGCTGGACTGCAAGGTTGGTTTGAACCATAAGGGTAGCAGTTCAAGTTCACCAGCCCTTCCTCAGAAACCCTCTACTGAGTCACTATTAGTTTGAGCAAACTTGACAGCACTTAAGAACAACAACAATAGCTTTTTTAGCACTGTGGCCACAGCCATGAGTATGCTAAGACTTAAAAAAGGCTTGCCTCCTGTGTCCTCTGCTATGGCAAGGAGAAAATCTCATTGGACCTCTGTAATACAAAAATCACCAACGCCAACTACCATCAACAGATATGTAAAGTGATCAAAGATGGGTTGATTATTTGCAAGATTAAAGCTGCCCGTTCCCAGGTTCTATACCAGAAAATAATTGAAAAATATTGAAAGTACCATGAACTGCCAAAAGAACAAACAAATCTGTCTTAGAAGAAGTGCAGTCAATGCTCCCTGGAAGTGAGGATGGTGAGACTTTGTCTCTAATACTTTGAGTACGTTATCAAGAGGGACCAGTCACTTGAAAAGGACATCATTGTTGGCAAAGTAGAGGGTCCACAAATAAGAGGAAGATCCTACCTCCGGCCCCAACTAGGTAGATTGACACAAACGTGACAGAATTATGAAGGTGGTATAGGACCAGGCAGTGTTGTATGTAGGCATATATCAAAGCCTGTGCCTGAAGATAAAGGAGAATGTGTTCAACACAGATTCTGAAGAAATACATCCACTGTCTGAAGGCAGACAAGACCCACAGAAAACTCCTAGCTGACCAGCTTGAGATCTGCAGATTAGTAGTACTACAACCAAGGAAGCACACAAATAGCTTGAGGCCACAAAGGAGGAGGTCATCAAGACTTTATAATGCAGAAGAGACCAAGAAATAAAGCTCCCCTTTGTCTATTCTTAATAGCTTCAGGAATTTTATAGATCGGTTATTCAATAAAGCAAACCTTTCACTGCCTGCTAAAAAGACCAAAACCTGATAATAAGCATTTTAAATGTTTTTATTTTAGGCTGACTTTTCCTCTAAATTCATGCCTCAAGTATATGTATCCACCACCTTCAAGCACAATCCTGGCAAACATAGTAAACGCCTTGGCAAGCGTACCTAAGTTCTATGTACAGGTAAGTAGAATAAGACATATTTTCATAAAAGTAAATGCTTGTATTGCTGAGATATTATTTCCCATGGAATTTCTCGTATTCATGATTGATGTTGTTAAGTGCTGTCGAGTCAGTTCTAACTCATAGAACCTTGTATAAGGTTTTTGAGGAGTGGCTGGTGGATTTGAGCTGCTGACCTTGTAGTTCAAACTGACCTTACGGTCCAGTGCTTATCCTACAGAGCCACACCAGGACTATATTTATTAATAATAATGTCCGATTATTCCAGAAAGGCTATGATGCATAATATTTTCAAATTTTGGCATCTTAGTGTAATGCTGTAGGATAAGAACTTAACAACTTTCAAATCAGTTACTACTGTGTTATTGTTCATGTTTAGTACCATCGAATTGGTTCCGACTCATAGAGACCCGGAGTAGGGTTTCTGAGGAGGAGCTGGTGAATTTGAACCACCGACCTTGCAGATCAAAATGACCTTGTGGTTGAGTGCTTATCCTACAGTGCCACACAAGGACTATTACTGTTTTTCTTGTTGTTGTTAAGTGCCATTGAGCCAGTTCTCACTCATTGTTACCCTGCATAGGGTTTCTGAGGAGCAACTGGTAAATTAGAACCATAGACCTTGTTCAAACCTACCTTGCAGTCGAATGCTTATCCTACAGCACCAAACCAGGACTTCTGTTGTTGTTAACTGCCAATGAGTCCATTCCGACTCATAGAGCACTGTATAGGGTTACCAAGGAGTGGCTGATGAGCTTGAACTGCCGACTTTGTGGTTGTTCAAGCTGGCCTTGCAAACCAGCGCATTAACCTACAGCACCACACCAAATAGGAAAATAGAATTTTTTGGTAATTGTCACTGTAATACACTTTTACATAGAGATTCTTAAAGGGAAAGACATAATGGAAACCCTACCAGATACATGGTAATAAGTATATAAAAAAAATTTGAATTATAGACTGTAGATGATTTTTATTGTCTTTATTATACTTCGCTGCTTAATAATTTCACAATACTCAGAGAAAAGTATATAAAAACATGTAAGTAGACATATTGCCATAGTCCCGTCCCCCCAAGTGAGGAAGGTGTAATAACTACATTGGCAGATAAGGAAACCGTGGCCTGCACAACACCACACATTGCCAGATAGAGGAGCAGGGAAGGTGTGCTCACTCAGGTGAATTGGGGAAGTTGAGGCTGGAATAGCAGCTGCAGCCTCTTTCAAAGCACCGTGTGCGGTGGGGTGGTTGGGAATACAGACGGGTGTGTGTGTCCCTAGTTTGTGGACATGTGCTCCACCAGCTTCACGGTGCCCAGGAAGTGGCATGGACAGTATGGAAACACATAGGGCAGTCAGTACCTATGTGGTGTAACGCGTAGGTGGCTCACCAGGTTACTAGAGTTCTAGAAGGCACGGTCACAGGTGAAAGGCCTGACCGTGGAGTACATCAAAAGGTAGTGTTACAGCAGCTGCACTAACTGCAGAGGCAGCTGCTGTCCTCCTGCATGTCCAGGGTGAGCTCTTTAGCTGGCTGCTGCTGCCAGTTTTGGGCTGTGCCGTATATTTGTGGGGCACACACTATGCATATCGATGAGCAGGTAGTAGTAGTAAGGCAGTGAAGATGTGGAGGAAGATGTGTCCACCTGCTGGTACGGTGGGTCAGTGGTATCTGGGGAGGTCTGTAGGGTGAGCATCCAGGGCTGCAACAACATCACCTGGGAGGTGGCCCAGCATAGTAAACTTTTTGGTTCCAGAAGTGGCTGAAGGCACGAGTTTCGAAGGTGGCTCCAACTTCCAGAGCCAAAAGAAGCTGTAGTAGTTCTTAATAGTAGCAATAACTATTTTTGTAGAACTGACAAGTATTTTAGGAAAGCTAATCTTAACAGCCTTAGTGTGGCACTATAGGATAAGCACTGGACTCCTAACTATAGGTTAACAGTTTAAATCCACCAGTTGCCCCTTCAAAACCTTATACGGGGTCGCTATAAGTTGGAACTGACTCCACAGCACTTAACAGCAGTCTTCTGAGGGAGTCCAGGTATGGCATTGTAGGACAATCACTGGATTGATAACTGCCAACTTGGTGGTTCACTCCACCAGTCCCTCCTCAAAAAACCTGTGCAGGGTCCACTATGAGTTGTAACCAACTCAATGACACTTAACAACAACACACAATCTTTGGAGGGGGCTTGGTGTGGTATAATCAGTGTTTTAATACCGTAGCTGCTGGTGATTAGAACTCACCAGCCCCACCAGCTGCTCTACTGATGCGGCAGTCTACTCTTATAAAGATGTTGTTAAGTGCCGTCGATTCTGACCCATAGCGACTCTTTATAGGGTTTTGGAGGAACAGCTGGTGAACTTGAACCGCTGACCTTGCAGTTCAAACTGCTTTGCAGTCTGGC